TTTTTCCCTGCTCACAATGCTCAAAAGGGTGCGAAACTTCATTCTTGAAGCCTGCTACGTGCCGCTAGCTGTACTGGAACCTCGCTTTGAATTAGCTCACTATGAAGGTACTCATCTTCAAAACACAGTTAGACCACTGTGCGGGGGAATGTTGAAGCAAAACTTGGATAGCAAAAGTTCATGATCAATCTCTTTGCAGAACGTTGCTCATCTGGGCAAATCCAAGCACAGTTTAGCTCGATGGTGGCAACAAATGAAAGTCAGCGAAAACTGTACAGGCAACTTCGTGATGGTCTGTAAACTCCAGTAATCAGTCGGCTTAGGTGTACCATTTCGCAAGAGTTTACAGGGTTCGTTGACATGAACTACCAAAGGAACTTGTCAAAGTGCGAAATGCCCTGCTCAAGTCGCAATCCCAAATCTGTTTTGCGCAGATTTTTACTTATGCGCATCAACGCAGGCGTGTAGGGGCGTCCTGCTGGAGATTGACCACATAAATCAGTCAGTCAGCACAAAAACTGCAATAAAGGCCCCAACTAGAGGAATGAAAGATCAAAAAGGTTTCAGATAATTCTGGGGGCACAGCATAGCAGCGTGCCCTTGAAAGGTTTGGGCTTCACTGTCACGCTCAGTTATGTACTTGCGCGGGTGAACTTCATTCCAGAGTCAATCATTTTGAAGCACGGTCCACGACCAGGTATAGAAGTTGAAAATGTGGCATCGGGAGGATAGTGTCGTCCGCGACGAACAACCCTGTACCGGTTTCGCGGCAAAAAAATGTAAGGGGGGGGGGGCGCTATAACGCAAAATGGGTTCGGTGACGCCTTCTTTTTTCCAGTGACTCCGCCTCCAGACTCCGCCACGCCTCCAGGGCCTGGGTTTCAGTGACGGTCGTAGAGATCTAATCGGGGAATCAGCTGTGCGGATGAGGGTGCGCTCTTTCTGCTTTTTTTTCTTCACTATCTGGTTTCTCTGGACCTTGTCGGCTATATATAAGGCTCGAATCCACTATCTGTGACGGCAAATGATCACTAGCTTTTCCTTTAGGCCCGGGATTAGGATTACTGCCCAGTGACGACATGTGTAGGCTTCGACAGCTGAATCGACGGGCGTATCAACGTGAGGTGGATTTTGGCGCGGCGCCAGCTCCTTCTCAGACAGTCGTTGCAAGATAAGCGAGCAATGATTGGTGGAATATGACTTGGTGCCGCTCCAAAACCTACGTCACAATGGCATGCTCCGTCAATTCGGTTGCTGAGGACTATATAATGCAAGAACCTATCATCCAAGCAAAAGTGCGGTGATCAGACTCATCATGCTGTTCAAATGGTAGTTACTTTTTAGAACCTGCTGACTGGTTAAGAAAGCGATCAAATTTCTGCCCTCCGAGAGGTCATAAGTTTTATCTCAGCTCGAGGCCATTCTATGCCTTGCAGCAGCTGCAAAGAAGTCGTTCACTACTTCAAGGCACCGAAGTGTAAAAATAAAATAACTCACTTCC